TTTACCTTTAAATTAAAAAGGTAAATGAATTCATTTCATAATAAGAATGTGAACTTAATTTAAATATACTTTCTTTTAAATAATTAAAATACTTTTGTATCAAATGATAAATGGAAATACAATAAGACCTGGTTTTTAGTAAAATAAATATCATTATGTTATGACCTCTAATGTGATTTATAAGGAAAGTTTGTCTCACAATCGGCTAATTTATAAAACTTTTGATTAGTAATATATTAATGAACAGATTATGCACTGTGCAACAATCACACTGAACATCATTTAAATAACTCGTTTGCCTTAAGAAAAATTTAATGTATTTTTAATACATTTTCATATTATAGATACCGTATTAATCATTTGGTTTAAAATAAACAATAATTTATTAAATCTGTCAGTACTTCAGTACTAAGCAAATCACTCCTAAATCGATTTTCGAGATAATCTTTTAATCAAAACCTCTAAATTGTTTCTAAAAATTGAAAGCATTTTTCTCCAAAAATCAAGGTTTCATTTGTGAGTTATTTTAAGTTTTCAATATTTGTTTCGCACATTTCTTTTTAGAAATCATTTAACCACAGACTTAACCACAGACTGAGCGATGGCTAGGAAATCAAAAATGACAAAATCAGAAGAGAAGGTAAAATATCCGGTGAAACACATCAAAATCACCACTTGTGGCCAATTGTATCAAACATGGAAAGCAAGCAAACCGTTGTACGAAAGGGCGCCCAAAAACGGGTTGACTCTCGATGTGGAATATGCGGACAATTTATCGCTCATTAACACCGATAACGAGTCACATAATACCAAACTCATGGTCTGTCTTCACGGCGCTCCGGGATCTCACTCCGACTTTGAAGCCGTTATCCAACACATGACTCGCGTCGGAATCCGAGTGATTGCCCCCAACTTTCCAGGTTTGATAATATTTTCAATTATTTTAATCATTATTACTATTATTCTAAATCTATACTAGATACTCTAGTAACACAATTGTCCTTCAGTTTATAATTTAATATTTTAGAAATAAATTACTAATCCATTAATAAAACTAATGAACAAATGGACACAAAAAAGATCTTAATTAAGAGTTTTCACAGAATACAATACAAGTATACAAACAATAGGTATTCGTGTTAGAGTTCGTTACTTTTAAAACCTTCATTTCAAGCTAATTATGTTTTAACATTTAATGTTAACATCATCAGTATGATGATAACCAAAATCATCGCTAACCTTATCTATATTTATAATTGATATATTTTTATTACAATCTTTGGTCTTTCTATTCTCAAATCAAATGATTGTATTATTGAATAAATAATTTGATAAAACAAAATTTACTCTCAAGACAAAACTTAATTGTGTATTTTATAATTAAAGAAAAATTACAAAATTTAAATTGCAGTATAAACATTTAAGCGCAAGGTTGTCAGATATGATATATCTTAGAATCTAAGACTTATATTATATAAATTCTTAATGACTTTAATTATATTTCAATATTAAACAACAAAAACTATATTAAAAATACTTGAAATAATTAATGGACTATTAATTGCTTTACAGACTATTCAGTGACAATAAAAACAGACATTTTTCGGCACTCTGTGGAAGAAAAAACAGAATTTATAAAAGACTTTCTAAAAGCTATTTCAGTAAACAAGTGAGTAATGAATGAAAATAAAAATTATGAGTAAAACTAAAAGTTGTCTATAATTGGTGACAGGATCAATGTAATGATAGCCCATTCCAGTGCTATATACCCGACAACTCTGCTCTGGTGTGACCCAAACTGTCCACAAATCGATTCGTTTGTATTCCTAAACCCTGGCGGACACCGAAGGATTAAAGCCATGCGACCGGTTTGGTATACGGAGGGCGGTGTCAAAGTGTACCAAAACAAATGGGGCAGAACTCTGTTCCAGATCTTCGGCACCGCTTTCCTCAACTTAACCAAAACAGTCACCGTTAAGGCCGATAACATGAATA